TGGTGGAGTAGTCTATTGGTGTGTATATATGTATAGTCTACTATGTTTGGTGGAGTAGTCTATTGGTGTGTATATATGTATAGTCTACTATGTTTGGTGGAGTAGTCTACTGGTGTGTATATATGTATAGTCTACTATGTTTGGTGGAGTAGTCTACTGGTGTGTATATATGTATAGTCTACTATGTTTGGTGGAGTAGTCTACTGGTGTGTATATATGTATAGTCTACCATGTTTGGTGGAGTGATCTCCTGGTGTTTATATATGCATAGTCTACTATGTTTGGTGGAGTAGTCTACTGGTGTTTATATATATCTATAGTCTACTATGTTTGGTGGAGTAGTCTACTGGTGTTTATATATATCTATAGTCTACTATGTTTGGTAGAGTAGTCTACTGGTGTTTATATATATGTATAATCTACCATGTTTGGTGGAGTAGTCTATTGGTGTTTATATATATCTATAGTCTACTATGTTTGGTGGAGTAGTCTACTGGTGTTTATATATATCTATAGTCTACTATGTTTGGTGGAGTAGTCTATTGGTGTGTATATATATGTATAGTCTACTATGTTTGGTGGAGTAGTCTACTGGTGTTTATATATATGTATAGTCTACCATGTTTGGTGAAGTAGTCTACTGGTGTTTATATATATCTATAGTCTACTATGTTTGGTGGAGTAGTCTACTGGTGTTATATATGTATAGTCTACTATGTTTGGTGGAGTAGTCTATTGCTGTGTATATATGTATAGTCTACCATGTTTGGTGAAGTAGTCTATTGGTGTGTATATATGTATAGTCTACTATGTTTGTGGAGTAGTCTACTGGTGTTTATTATATATGTATAGTCTACTATGTTTGGCGGAGTAGTCTACTGGTGTTTTTATATATCTGTAGTCTACTATGTTTGGTGGAGTAGTCTACTGGTGTTTTATATATCTATAGTCTACCATGTTTGGTGGAGTAGTCTACTGGTGTTTTATATATCTATAGTCTACCATGTTTGGTGGAGTAGTCTACTGGTGTTTTTATATATCTATAGTCTACTATGTTTGTAGAGTATTCCACAGAGCAGTACCAGATTTATTCATAGGTGATCCTAGGGATCAAGCCAGCAACCAAAATAAAAAAAATTATGGCTTAGGAAACTAGCAGAATAGAGGAAAGAGTGAATTTTTTTGTTATCCCTAATATTACCTGGGCCCATGGCCCCACTGAACCTTAATCTGACCCTGTCACTGAGTGTTATAGTCCACTAATCTTGGTAGTGTCAGTTATTTTTATAATTTGCTTTGTTTTTGTGTGCTTATTTTTAATTTAGTATAATAAGATTTGTTATATGCAATAGGTGTGAAACATCACCCTACCCATGAACTAAACAGTTTATAGGTATACGTGTAATAACTTATGGAATGCAGTCTTTAACTTCTACACAGTAATTACCAATATAAACACTTGTCTGTCTCAGAAACTTTCCAAAACATTGCCTAGTTCTATGTATTCAAAAAACTTTTCATAAAAATCATGAAAGAGTTTATTTGAACAAATCCCAAGTCTGAAGAAAAACAGACAAGAACTGTTTCTAATCCAGGTTACTCCTATTAACCTTCAATAGTAACAGTGAAATTATAATTTGATATTTACTCTTTTTTTTAGATCCCAGTTCCAACTCCAGCAACACCAGAACTTTTTACAGAATCAGTCTTCCTCACAGATTGAACAAGTAGATCTGAGTCGACAGTCTAACTCCCAGAACGTTTCCCATAGCACTCCAACTTTCACAACTGTGGCTACTGCTTCTACCATTGCAACATCAGAGACCAAACCTAACCAGCGACAACTGCTTCAGCAACACTTGCAACAGAAAATACAACGACAGCAGCAACAGCTAGGTAGGACTAATTTATTAAACTTGTGTTTGCCTTCCTTTAAACACTTGCACTTATTACTGACTAGTGAAAGTACCTGGCTTCACTCGGGTTATTAGGTGGATAGTGTGTGTATTCTGAACCCATTTTAGCATTAAAGTATAACCTATATACTTTTTTTGTTAAGCAACATGACATAAAAACCATTGTTACCAAAACCCACTGGCTTTTCTATATATTAGAAGTCGTTATATAAGGACCCACTTCTTTTCTATGTGGTTTTTCACTAGCTTGCCTCATTAAAAAGATGCACACGCATGTGGATAAGTAATAATACCCAGGTGCAAACCCTCAAGGTCTACTTAGTATGGGTGCAAAATTTCAGCTTTCTAATTTCTTTCCTCTTGGAGCTATGCTGGTCACACATGCACGTGCATGTCTGTCTGTCTGTGATTTCTATTTGTTATATATGGAATTACTTCTTTTCTATGTGTTTTTTTTTATAAAAAGGTGTACATGCAAGTAGTTAAGTAATAATACCCAGGTGCACACCTTCAGGGTCCACTTAGTATGGGTGCAAAATTTCAGCTTTCTAGTTTCTTTCCTCTTGGTGCTATGGTGGTCACAGTTCTTTTTTATGTGGTTTTTTGCTAGCTTACCTCACAAAAAAATGCACACGTGCATGTGGATAAGTAATAATACGCAGGTGCAAACCCTCAAGGTCTACTTAGTATGGGTGCAAAATTTCAGCTTTCTAGTTTCTTTCCTCTTGGTGCTATGGTGGTCACAGTTCTTTTTTATGTGGTTTTTTGCTAGCTTACCTCACAAAAAAATGCACACGTGCATGTGGATAAGTAATAATACGCAGGTGCAAACCCTCAAGGTCTACTTAGTATGGGTGCAAAATTTCAGCTTTCTAGTTTCTTTCCTCTTGGTGCTATGGTGGTCACTGTTCTTTTTTATGTGTTTTTTGCTAGCTTACCTCACAAAAAAATGCACACGTGCATGTGGATAAGTAATAATTCCAGGTGCACACCCTCAGGGTCCACTTAGTATTGGTGCAAAATTTCAAGGTTTATAGGTTTTTTTTGTTTTGGAGTTATGGCGGTCACATACACACAGACATGCCCTTTTATTATTATAGATGTAACACTGAGTTACTCATTCTTTGTTCTGTATGTATAGATTAGCTACTACTAAGTGCTTGTAAGGATTTTCAGTATTAGCTGTGCATTTGTATTTTAAATTTTCATAATTTTAGAATTCACTCTTAACCTGTTTCTGAGTTTGGTGGATTTTTTCACTTTTGACTGTTCAGCCTATACTGAAAGTATTTTATTTTCAACAGGGGCCTCAAATCTTTCCAATGCTGTTTTGTCAGCAGCAGTTAAAGCCAACCTTGCCACTTTTCTTCACACTGTTTCGACCTCAACAACCAGTGTTATCGAAAAGCCAGCCGCAAGTCACACTGTTTCACCAAGCTGTACCTCAACAACTACTAGTGTCCAGCAATCTGTCGTGAGCTTTCCATCAACATTCCCAAATGTAACCGCTGTTGTTCTGTGTCCTTCTACTTCAGTGATGAGTGACCCAGTTTTAACAACTGCTAAGCCACGAGCAAACTCATTACCTAATGGGTTGATTGACAAGAGGTAAAATCAGCATTTTTTACCATCAACATTTGCAGTATTGACCTTTTAAAGAAAGTTACCATGTTAGGTAATAATTTCCATTCATCACAAAGTGTTCTATTAAAAATAAACACATTGTTAATGTTTTCCTTACGCCCATACAATAACACGTCTCTTGTTAAATGTCTTAAGAAATCTTTTATAGAAGAACTTTTCTGACAGCAGTATCTATCCAGATAACAAGCTATAAATGACAACGAAATCAAAGACATTTACTTTATCATGACATCAACTGTCATGTCACTTCAGGGCCACACTGAAGTTCTATATAAGTAAACAATATTTCATGTATTCACATGCTTGCAATTAACCAGTTTTTTAAATTTGATTTCATAAAAACTTATTTCTTTGTAATGAGAAACATTTGTTTTGCATGTTATAATCCACTTTTTGTGTATTTAATTACTTTGTGCACTTAAGTATTAACTTCCTCTTGGTAACAAAACACGATGATAGAAATGGTTATGTTAGCTTACAACAGTATCCCTTCCTATTACTAATTGTAAAATATATAGGTAATACCATAAAACTTGTAGATATGATGGAGCTTGTGTATTTGGATCAGTGTTGGGTTTGATGTAGGTAATACCATAAGACTTGTAGATATGATGGAGCTTGTGAATTTGGATCAGTGTTGGGATTTGATGTAGGTAATACCATAAGACTTGTAGATATGATGGAGCTTGTGAATTTGGATCAGTGTTGGGTTTGATGTAGGTAATACCATAAGACTTGTAGATATGATGGAGCGAGTGTATTTGGATCAGTGTTGGGTTTGATGTAGGTAATACCATAAGACTTGTAGATATGATGGAGCTTGTGTATTTGGATCAGTGTTGGGTTTGATGTAGGTAATACCATAAGACTTGTAGATATGATGGAGCTTGTGAATTTGGATCAGTGTTGGATTTGATGTAGGTAATACCATAAGACTTGTAGATATGATGGAGCTTGTGTATTTGGATCAGTGTTGGGTTTGATGTAGGTAATACCATAAGACTTGTAGATATGATGGAGCTTGTGTATTTGGATCAGTGTTGGAAGCAACATATAGTTTTATATCTCTTAACCCTCGTGTTAACTGACGAAGACTTGTAGCACTTGTGAAAAAAACGGTTTATTATCTGATATTTAACATTTTACTGTAGAAAAATGTCCTTACCCACTGTTGACACAAGACTGACAAGCAAACCTTCACCATCCAAGAAAAATTCAGAACCACCTCCAGACTACAATGAAGCAACAAAACAGTTGAACAAATCTAAGCAGGTTAGACTTGGGTTTTCTTGGCATATTTTATACTTTTGATTTTATTTTTCAGACGAATGTTTCTTACTATATTTTAATCGTAAGTGTGTAATAATAATAATATACAATATTTATTTACATTTGACATTAAATGCGTAGCTAACATTACATTAAAGAAGTGTATTAGCTATTTCCACTATTTATTGTAGTTATCTTTAAGATTAAGCATTTTTTTCATTCTCACAGAATCATTCATATTCAGCCATTATCAATAACAACTTTCATTCTGGCCCAAAATCTTTCCAAAGTCAAGCTGTTGATGACGTTCTTGACATCTTGATTAAAAACGGAGGTAAGTATAGTACTTCTTAAAGATAAGTTTCTATTTTAACCATTTTTACTTAGTGACTTGTCTGACGAAACTGAATCTTCACAAACATCTTAACGAAGGACACATGTAGAAAAATGTAAGATTGTAAGGCTTTGAAACATTCAACCAATCTTTAGGCTTAACTTATTAATCAAAAGTAGAACATGTATAGTCACTCCACTCTTTATCCTTCAAAAACACCTATTTTATCTTTTTACCACTTCTGGTGAAGTAACATGTCTGAATATATACTTTGTGTAGTTGTGATAAATTATGTATACTACTGGTGCAGTATTAACTTGACCTCTCAGTAAAGCTTGTATTAAACCCCCTTTGTGACATTCATTCTGACCTTTTCACACAGTTATACTCTTTAATGACATTAATGTGCAGCGAATACTGTTATTGTTCTTATAGATATAAGTAATGTGTCAACTGAATGTTTGTAGCGGCTTTCCTGAAATATGTCTTTTACCTTTATAATCTTGGCTTTTTTTCTAGATAAGTTTCCTTCAGTTAGTACAGAAATTAAGAAAACTAAACTGTGTAAAACATTACACTAATCTTTGACTTTCTACTCACTAAGAACTGCCACCCAGTGCTGCCCAAGAACCATATATTTCAACTGTTCTTCAGTCTCTTGGCAAATCACATCCATCAACATTTGCAGTGGTCACCACATCTTCGGCAGTATCTATGGTGACCATTCCACCATCTTTATTAAGCCAAGAAACTTCTCCAGTACAATGTCATCCAACTACTGCATCACCTCCTACCGTCAGTTCAACCACCAGTCCACCGTCCACAGTGTTAAATGAGACAGGTCACAATGTTAATCCAAGCCTGGACTTTGATCTTCACTTAGACTTGGATGGCTTTGGGGGTATGGAGCTTGATGGATTAGGACTTGGTGAAGAACACAAAATGGATCCTGATGATTGTTACATTCAGCAGTCAGCCCAGATCGCCACACAGCCTAACGTGACCTTGCATGACCCAGAAATGGACACCGAACTGACGGAATGGCTCGACTCCGTGATGCCCGTCACGAGTACAGTGATTCCTTCTATTACTCAGTCTCTGTTCAGTGGACCGAATGACCATGACCCGCTTCTGTCTACTATGTGTAATTCACATGACCCTTTTGAAGAAATGGACTGCAAAACTCCAACTTTGATGTGGGATTTTGCTACATAAACACATTTCTGTGATAAGAAGTGGTCCAGCTTTCTTTTTTACCTCTTCTCAACCACGTACTGATTATGATACTTTTAAAATGTTAGCTTTGGGCTTTGTAACAACCATGTGGTCAAGATAGGTAAAAAAATTTACAAATTGAGGACCAATATATCTACCATTGTGGAAATGATAATCCTGAACCAAGTGTTGTGAATACGTATACAATAAAAAACAAACCAGCAACCTGAAGTAGACTCTCATACTTATTGTCAGTGTGGTGAAAATGTTGTGTTTCCAAAGCCTTTTATCTATGATTGTTAAGTATTGTACGTACTTCTGTTAAATTGTTTGTATTATCTTGTAACATTTTAAATTTGCTTCAAGTGTGTGTGTGTTAAGTATTGTATGTACTTCTGTTAAATTGTTTGTATTATCTTGTAACATTTTAAATTTGCTTCAAGTGTGTGTGTGTTAAGTATTGTATGTACTTCTGTTAAATTGTTTGTATTATCTTGTAACATTTTAAATTTGCTTCAAGTGTGTGTGTGTTAAGTATTGTACGTACTTCTGTTAAATTGTTTGTATTATCTTGTAACATTTTAAATTTGCTTCAAGTGTGTGTTTGACTTTGTTGACACAATGTACAGAAACACTAATTCCTCCTGTGGTCAGTTTGAATGCATTATCATACAGATCTTTGACCATTTTTGAATTCTGAATGAATCATTATTTAAGTCCAAGGTGCTATTAAAATTATGTAAACTTACAATCTTATCTACAGCGATTCAAAGATCATAAGTTTATAAATTTTCTGTTGTGGTTGTTCCCTTGTACATCTTGAGCTGATGACAGAAGTTTTGTATATTTGTGTAAAGTAGATCAGTACAAAGAAAATATAAGTTATTTACAGCAGTTTGATTGATATTACTGACGATCGGACTAATAAATTTAACGTATGTGACACGTCCAGAAGATATAACCGGAACTTCAAAGTATATATATAGGCAAGTGTTAAAACCATGTTCAACAAGTTCCAGGCCATGGTTAGAATATTTGTGATTAAAAGGAGACATATGTAAAGATTTCACAAAAAAAAATATTATGTTAATATATTTATTAATTTACAAATCATTATCAGCTTCAATATAATATATACAGTTCATAAAATTAAATATTGAAATGTTTTTACTCCAGTATAATGATTTCCTCACGCATTAACATTGATGTTGAGGTAGTTACACCTCATTAATGTTTTATTACCATTAGAATTAATGGGCTCGATGTTTATTTTATAAAATTATGTGACCACTGTAAGAGTGATCCTTCTCCATACTGTGAAGTAAATATTTGGCACATGGATATCCTTCAGTGATTAATCTTTGATCAGTATTTACAAATGTAACGTGTAGCGGAATAAATGCTAAAAGGACAAAATTAGAAAACAAAAAAACTTGTTGTAGCGAAATAATACTAATGAATAAAAAACAAACAATCCTAAGGTAAAAAAAGTAAGTCACCCTTAGTAACAAGTGTTGTATTGTTTCTTATTGGTTACTTCCACGAGCTTAAAAAAACAATGTACTGGTTATTTGAAATAAACATACCTGTTGTTTCTTGCATCAATATATGTTGTTTTAGTGAAATATTGAACACGTATTAAGTTTAGCATAATAACAACAACTGAAACTTGTTTTTTAAATATTTTGATGATATAATTATACCTGTCATAAGACGTCAGCCCTATTATTTCTTAAACTAGTCCCTTAGGGACTTTTAAGAAGAATGTATTTCAACCACAATATATTTGTTACATCCATTACTGATGGATACAAAAAACACAGTAATGAACAGAATACTATTATTATAAGCCACTTAATAGAAAATCTTTAAGATTAAGAATGTACTGTTATGGAATATGATAGACCTAATATAATTTCTCATGACAATTATAATCATGCTTCGCCAGATTCTAAACGGTGTTCACACCATATTAATAGTGAGGCTCCAAATTCATTTTAATATAACACAAGCAACCTCCGTACAAGTGCTTGAAAGACCCAGAGAACTGCTTTAACAAAACCCAGTCCTTCCTGGAATAGCATGTAAAATTGATGTTTTATTATAGGGTTATTTATCTTTTCTTAATTTACTTGCTACATTCCGCACAATTAAATCCCCCACAAGTATATCAGACATGACGAACTCAAAAATCAATTAGGAACACTGTTCTTGCTTTCAGATTGGCTCACTTGCCTTGTCAGTTAAATGTATTTTCACGTGATGTTGAAGTTGTGGCTTAACAATGGTTTAGTGATATCATCAGAACTAATTAATTTCACTCGACGATGCCAGCTAAATACCATCGTAATGAGACATGGTCAGAAGTCTCACTAATGCTAATTCTACATTGTACATGCAGGAAATATTAATACAAAAGAATAAAAGCACAGTATTTCTCAAACAAAGATATAACAACACTTATTGGTTTAAATGACAAGTCAGACTCCATAGTGGGAGACAACATCCTGTCTCAACCAGGAAGGGACTAATGAACCCCATGCATCGCAGTAACAGGCAAAATGACCACTTGCATACAAGCAGTCAGTGATCCAATATGTGTAGTGTGCATTCAAACTGTACTTTGTTCTCACCTCAACTCTAGTGAGAAACTCCAGCTGGAGGAGGAGGACACATTAGTTGTGTAGTATGGATCTATATAGTATGTCCTCAACTCTACTGACAGAAGGACATACTATAACACAGTAGGACCAACTCTACTGACAGGTCCTACAGCATCATAGTATGTCCTCAACTCTACTGACAGGTCCTACAGCATCATAGTATGTCCTCAACTCAACTGACATGTCCTACAGCATCATAGTATGTCCTCAACTCTACTGACAGGTCCTACAGCATTAAAGTATATCCTCAACTCTTCTGACATGTCCTAC